CAAACTGGGGTTGCAACTGCTTGAGCTGGGGATCAGATGAGGTCCCTTCCCACCTCAACCGTTCTGCAAACAGGGTAGACATGTCTCTGACAGTCACTACTCTCCACTTCCTTAGCTCTCAGACATTAATTTCCGACAAAAAATGTACTTTGAACATCCTTATTATTCTGTGTTGCTGCATTCATTCTTCTGGACATAAAATGTGTAGATTCTCTATTTTCTACAACAAATTGTTTTTAAACCTACACAAAGCTTTGAAATACTGACCAAAAATTACATCCTGTCTCTTGATGACATCCTTTTCTTGCTTGCTGCAGAACACTGGATCCACAACAAGACTCCAGGACTCTGCCTCAAACTCTTGTGCATCTGTGCAGAGATCAGTCCACTGAGACAAATCCACATCATCTATGACAAAATGTATATCTCATTAACACCAGGCAAATGAACAGTAAGGGAACATGTTTTGCACATCAGATCTATTCGAATAGTAAGGGCAACACATGACAGGGATAAACTTTAGACAAGGGTTCTGCAAACATTGGCAATGGCTTTACATCAGAGAAGCTCACCAGATGTGAATGTAAAAATGTAAATGTGACCATGAGAGAGAAGGAAAAAAAAACAAAAACAAACCACCCTTCTTTTCTCAGATTAAATCCTGTTTATACTTCTTTCTTTGAATAAACTTTTTAAAATTTAAAAATACACTCCAGCATTTTCAAAAGTAGATGTCCAGTGAGAGATATCTGCACCATCCTTTGTGAGTCAATGTCCTTCACCTTTGAAATTCAGTCTTGCACCTAGCTACAGAAAAAGCCTATTTCCATTCACTTCACAAGGAAATGTAGCTATTTTAGGAAGGCAGTTCACCAGCAGGAGGCACGATATTTGGACTACTCAGGAAATACAAGTGATGTAGGTTTACATTTTGCAGTGTACACTGTCAATGGAGTTGTATTTTAAGACTAATGTATCTGATTTTATAATTTTAATGAGACACACTTGTAATTATCAAAAAAAGGTGCTCTACAGTTCTTTTAGCAGATGAAGAGGCTTCCTATATAAACTAGGGAGTTTTTCTGTTCTGCAGTATCTGTCCAATGCTTCCCACCTTCCATCATAAAAGAATCCATTGAAGTGAAGGTCCTTAATGCTTGTAACATCTCTTCAGAGCGTGACTTGGACCTCCAGGTGCTATCCTCAGAATCTTGTTCAGAAAATGGCACAGATCTTCTACAGCAGAGAAGAAAAATAATGATTTAAAAAATAATAATAATTTTTAAAAATCCCACATTTGTTTAATGGTTTCAATTTTTCCAAGAAATGCTGAAGGATGCTTTCAGCATAGCTCCCTGGCAGTTGCCCTCTACCTTTCAAAACTAGCACTGGGGACACTTTTAGACAAGAAGTGGGACTGTTGTGAGACTTCCCTCCTTCCAACAGACAGTCCAATAGGCACAGAGGAAGAAGGATGCACCGAGGAGAGCACCATCTGTGAAATGTCTCCAGGCAGCGAATCTGTGAGGCAAAGCACAACACAACATTCTGATAAACCAAGTAGAGTATGCCATCAACAACACACTGACACTGAGAAATGCTAACTGGTGTTCATATTGACCTGCACTGGGTATCACAAATGTCCACTTGCCATGGTACAAGATGGTGATGCTCTCTCAGGGAATATAAAATAAGCCTTAGGCAAAGTGGAATAGCTCTGGCATGGATATTACTGAGAAGAAAACAGTATCAAAACATACATGCCCTAACATTGCAGCCTAACCCTAGGAGACCCAAATATTTGTACATATGGTAAATTATGTACTCAAAAAGCAAAAGACAGAATTATTAGTTTTTATTTTCGTTCTCACTGAAAATAAAACATAGTAAAGCTTCCATTTTAGTAGAAGATGAGTTAATTCAACAGTAATTTACTAAAAAAACCCTAGTCATATTACAGACACATGCACTTTCTTACAGACAGTGAAATTAAAAATAGAAACACACAAACTATGTAGGATAGTTTGTGTCATTCATGCTGTGATTTTATACAAGAGTTAACTTAGAAGTGCTAGTTTTACACCTCTTAACTTACTTGTTGCACCAGCTTTGGGTTTGGTTTTATTATGGTACCTCTCCTGGGATTTCTGAAAAAAAAATAATAACTTCATGAAATTGCAATTTAATCATAGCTGTTAACACAATGAATAGTCAAGTCAATATTCCACATATCATTACACAAAAGAGCTTCAGGAACACATTCCTAAATTATGGTCCTATTTTTTACATTTTACATGAATATTGTAGATAACAATTTTCAAAGTAGAATGATATTATATGTAGTACAATACTTAATCTGTTTGTTCTAAACTGAGTCACTCAGTTACAGCATTTCTCTGTATGAATATTACCTGTGAAGGCTCCAAGAAAAGGAGTTCACAATCAGGGCTTTATATTCAAATAAGCTCGACACATTTTTGTCAGAGCAGGAACCCCAGGTATCAGAGGTAGAATCAATCCCCCTTTCACAGTGGACTTTTGCAAACCTGTAACAAAAGCCTGCTGGTTTTAGGCATGTATTTTACTTGAGGTGGCTCAGTGTACATTTTCTTCACCTCATTCTTGTTGAGATGGTGGGGGCTTGTGTCTCCTCTCAACAAATAGCCCACCAGCCCCAGTAATTGAAACTGCCAGCTCACTATTCTAATGCCCTAAAGTTGCCCAGAAATTTGTGCAAGGCTATGACATGACAACTATAACCAAAATAAATAAAACCTGATTTATGTCCAGTTCCAGGCTTGCTTATGCAGAAGAGAATGTACAGAAACATGTTCTCCTTGCAAGGCACCATAATGCAAAACCCAGCTACACTAGAAAGACACACTCAACCAATCAGAAAAATTACCTGTATTACTGTGGCACACTTCTCTGCAGGTCTCATTTTATTACATGAGGGCAGAAGCCTTACAAATCTGCTTTTGAAAATTATGTCTTTGTCATGATAGCCAAACCACACACGTATTCCTACTTAAAAAAACACAGTATCCATCAGCACCAGCGCTGATTTTGCCCTATTTACAGTGGCAGCTGAAAACCAGGAGTGACTGCCTAGGCAGGCTGTGGAATCTCCCCCTCCAGAGATTCTTCAGAACAGGTCAGACAAACATTTGCCCAAACTGTTACCTAGAAGTGAGCCTGACCAAGGGTAAGGGGACAGACTAGGTTGCCTCTCAAAGTCCCTTCCATATCTGCTTTCCATTATTCCAACCATGGAGGAGCCCCCCCTCTATAAAAGGGGCTATAAGTGATTTAAAGTGGCCTTTCTTTTCAATCCCCTTTGCATCCCTCCAGGCACACCATTTCACAATTCAAGCTTGAATTCTTAAAAATTAAAAATATGTCTTTAAACTCTTTTTTGACCCTCTTCTAAAAACTGCTGTTCAAGCACAGTGCTTACTCTGTTTCTCACATCAGATATTTTGACACCCTTGCAGCCCTTTGCATATAGACACTGGTCTGGGCAGGCTGTGTGTACTTTCTTTTTTCCTTCATGATTCCAGACTCCTTGGAAAGCAGATCTGCTCTAGTAAGAATGGTGTGGTACAGGAGATTACCTTGGTGCACACAGGAGCACCCTCCTTGCAGCTCTTATGCACAATCATGTTGCAATCTGAAAGAAAAGACACATTTCAAAGCCTGGCACCAAACACTGTCTCTAGCCTGCAGAAAATGTTACTCCGAGGCTTCATCTTTTTCCTGCCTCCAGGTCCACTTACTAAATTAGACCCGAGGATACTCTGATGTTAGAGCCCCTGGGCAGGAAGATGTTTTTGCCTAATGTCCTGGGGTTAGGAGGTAGTCGTGGCACCTTCTGAAGCTGCCACCTGCCAGCCCTCCTCCCCCTGTCCTTGCCAAACTCAGCTTGTTACACGAAGGAGGTACTTCCAAACCTAGGCAAGGTTTCTTTTTGAAACAAAACACTGAACCACAACCTCAATTCTGGATTCAGAGCTTGTTAAGTTCACATGCAAAAGCCAGCAACTACTTACGAGAGCACTGCAATGACTCTTTTCCTAGGAGGGCTTTTTCACAGGCCATACATGAAATAACTCCTGAAAAGGTCCCATTTGTAAAATTGTGTCTGTTCAGTTTCTCTTTATCTTTGGTATCTTTATTTTTTGTCTTCGTCCCCAACAGCAGAGGCAGGAAAAGAGGCGGGGGGGGAGGGGAAAAAGGACATTAGAAAAGAAGACAAAGCGATTCAATCTTAAAAACTCTAAAGCATTCCCTTTCAAGAGGAAAGTATTATAAAATATTTATTCCCTGTCCTTGAAGACTTGTAACAGTATATTGTATTATTACATTCAATATTGTTGAAGTCTGAAATTATACAGGCATTGCTTTCCCTGGCAACTATACCAGCAAGCATTATCAAGGAAGACTGGCAGCAATACTATTATAAAGCTGTAAATAGGGAAGGGCCAGGAGAAAAAAAAAAAAGTGTTACTAACTCACTGCACACACAAACAAATATCAATGCCTACACTCCCTGAGGCATGCAGGCAAACTCATACCTCTGCAATTAAAGCTGCAGTTACGTAAATTTAGAGAACTTTAGATCTTTGAACACATCAGAAATAACTTGTTTTTAATGACTGTTAATTAATTTTTTTAATTCTGCCTATTTTTACAGCACTCATGTTAGTGTGTGCATACATTTCTCTAAGCAGCCCTGGTAGTTACTCTTTAGAAGGCCACACAGACACAAGCTAATGTATGGCTGCTGGACCAGCCATACACGTTCACAGCCAGTTCTGCCGCTCTCGCAGATATCATTCCAGCCAACCAGTTTCACATCCATATACATTAGGATACCCTGGGGCACAGGAGGGTGTACTAGAAAGCCTGAAAAACTGCTGAAAGGCCAGCTAGAAAGATCCCATAGGCCAAATCCATCTCTCAAGCTGTTGATTGATGCCATTAATCTAAATTTCAGATGTCTCAAAATTAAACCACAAATGTTCTAAACTACCTTTCATAGTACACATGTACAGGCCCTGAATCTGCAACTCTTTTAGCAGTACTTACTCATGCAAGAAGTCCCATTAATTTCATATAAGGCAAATCCAACTGATTAAGTGACAAATGTAGAAGTTACAGACTCAATTACTTATTGACAGTCATTGCAAGAACAGGACCATACCTCTTAATTTTATTTAACAAAGTATTTCTTTAAGGTAATCCATACATTGAATCTTTGGCTAAATTGCCAAATGATATTACGAATAACATTTTAAAAAATGGTGAGTGAAAGAGTTCATATTGTTCACTTAAGGCTACTGTTTAAAAGGAAGGCCATTTTTTTAATCTGAAGGTCATTTCAGGGCATACTGCATATGTTTTAAAATTAAAAAATAAAGATACATTTCCTTCCTATTATTTATGTGGTTTTGTAATAACATCTTTACATAAAAATATAGATTCTCATCTATAATTAATTTAATTACAGTGACATAATTATACATAATAACATAGACATAATCCCAAATTACCTTGCACTTATTCCGTGTGCTGGTCATTCTGTTCATCAGAAAGCTGAAAGTACGACTCACTTTATATTTTTCAGACTCATTTTTTGAGGGTACAATATAGTTATTCCATTCTTCTTCCTGAATCCTAAAAAAGAGACAAGCATAAAAAACTTGATTCTAGTGGGAAAAGTGCCTTAAAAGAGATCAGAATCTGGACAGTGCTTGTTTCACCTAACAGCTACAACTGCAAGTTTTAATGTGGGTTTAGCTGATGTTATTAAAAAGACTGCAACCTTTCCTTTATAAAAAAGAGTAAACAGCAGCCCATGGAGCACTCTTAATGTACAATGTGTTACAACCTTGCCCAAATCATGGATGGTATTAAAAGCCCCCTCGATTTTGTCACAGTGTTTTGGACAACAGTAGCACATCCCTGCAGTGCACAGTGTTCAGCACATCCCCACTGCAGGACAGCATAGGGACAGCCAGGCTGAGCTCAGCTCAGGGTTTAAGTGTGGGCACACTGTCCCCCTGGGCAGGGAGCGCCCCCTGAAATCAGTGCTGAGCACCCTGCTGCAAGGGGTGCTGAGGCCTCTTTCCCACTCTGCTCCCTAGATGGCATTCCTACACAGACCCGTGCCCAGCCTCAAAAAGCAGGCACACAAGGACCCACACCCACAGAGGCCAGAAGCACCCACACCCATGGGGAACACCCATGTGGGATGACTGATGAAAGTGTGTCCTGATTTGATCCAGGATAGAAACAATTTTCTTTCTAGTAATTTTACTTTTTAGTCAAGTCTCTTCTAAGCAGCTGCATTTGCTGAAATTAACAGCATATTTTTCAGTCAGTGTCTGCTTCTAGGACTGATGACAATGTTTTAGTTACAGTTGGGGAATGGTGTGCAGAACCAAGGCCACTGATTGGATCTGAGAAAACATCTTATGTGATTTGTTTAATTGCCGACACAGTATTAAGCCCTGACAAGGTGATTTTGAAGTCAAGCCTATATTCACCTTTTCAGGAAAGGTACAGAGCTGACAGAACCTTTAGAGTGGAATTCAGCTACCATGCAAAGGCTCTGTACCTCAGTTATTCCCCAGGTAACCCCAGCTGCTGGAATCAGAGGAGCCTAGTGTGCTGATAACCTGCACATTTGAAGACATCATGGCTAGACCCTCTAATAAACATGGGGATCTGAAGGTCCCCTAGAACTGACAAGTTGCATGTTTGATATCCTTGGTCAAAAATCTGTCACTTTTTTGACAAATGGCTGTCCTTTAGTGAACTTTGTTCATTATAATATCATTTTAATAACAAAACACACCTCCATCCCAAAAGCTACCCACCTCCCAGGGGACAACCACCCCTCAACAAACATGCACCCTGAATCTTCTTTAGTCTGTACCTTTAAAGGCAAAGCAAGAGAATTCTACACCAGTCATGACAAAGGTATATATGACCAGAGTCACTCAAGCTCCACCTATAAGATAACAACCCTATAAAATTGACCTAAGAGCGGAAGGATGTCAAGGAAGATGACATTCATGTTAGGGAAGATACCATCACCAGGCCCTTGCCAGGATTACCCTTGACTTCTGGGATCAGTCGACAGGCTCAGATTCTAGTCCCTCTCAGAGGAACACTTTTGGATAAGATCTGAACATTCAGTCACACCAAGTGTACCCCAGAAAACTTAGAAACCTCCCATTTAGAAACTTAGAAACTCCCTTTTCCCTTTTCTCTTTCTTTCTTACCACTTTACGCATTAGTAGCTGGGGTTTATTACTCATATTCTTGGTATTTGCACCTGCTTTGTAAACAGCTAATTTATCACCAGCAACCCAAATAATTTGTGTATCTGTTGCTGCAATAAATTGCAGTACTGTTTGACCTAACCAAAAGTGCTGTCCCTCAACAGGGGGACCAAACCTTTGAAGTGTGGCTGTGCTAGCTCAGGTATGTGCAGTGGGCAGCTGGTGTGATGTCAGTGGCTCCAGACTCGTGGTGGTCCAACAGGGGTGCTGGCATGACTAGACGACTAACACTGCTTTGGGCAGCACTCAGAAACTAATCCCAGCCACCCTCAGCCCCTCTGATAGCTGAGGATCAGCTGGAACGGAAGGGGGCTTAGTTTCTGCCAAATTATTTAGCTCTTCTTTCTCACACAACTCAGGGGGGCACAAGCACCTACACCCACAGGGGATGAAAGGAGCTGCACCCACAGGGGACACAAGCACTCACATCCACAGGGGACACAAGGAACCCACCCACACCTGCAGGGGAAACGAGGACCAGCACCTGCAGGGGAAATGAGGACCCCCACCCACAGGGGCCACAAGGACCCATACCTTTTCTCCGGGGACTGCTCAGGCAGACTGTACGCTCGCTCTGCAAGACAAAAGCAGTTATTGGGCACTCCAGCAGCAAGGTTACCAGGTTTATTTGAAATGCACAACCTCTACCCAGAACATAAGCTTGTCATTAAGGGCTTGCGATGTCATTTGGAAATTAGGAAAGCAACAATGTATTATACATTAGAAGCAGCTCTGCCTAGGGTAAGACCACTGCCTACTAAGCTTTAGTTAGTTGGCAGAATCTGCCAGAACTGAGATGGGCATCAGTGAAAGCCTCTGCGAACAGTCACTTTTTAAGAATAACAGAAAACATTTCTCGTTTTTCTTAGCAACCCAGACTTGAATGATTCACCCTTCATTTTGCTTTTTACATAATTTGATATAAAATGTCTCAATTACATTCTTCTAACATTTTCGATTACCTGTCTTACGCACTTTTATGTATAGTATTTCAAAATTTTAAACCCCTCTACATAAAAAGAAGTATTACTAGCCTACATACTGCACAAGATATGTAATGTTGTTACAAGTTTACATCCTAGAAACAGCAGACGATGAAGGTCATTGTCAACAAACTGTCTAAAAAGCAAAATAAAAGAAAAATAATTCAGTTTGGTAGTTTTGGAAGGAAAAAATAACGTGACAGAGATATCTCTACCATCTCCAAATTAGAACACATTCCATTTTGCAGACATTTTTTGCAAAGCTACCACATGTTCAGAAAGATACTTACATACTTGCCTAAGCAACAGCATCAGACTATGCCTTCCTTGAAGTCAGATACAAACTGGAACACGCTTCACTGAATGAATCAATATGTCTTTAAACAAACAATCTTCAGGTCAGTGAGAGCTAGAATATTCACCAAGGAAGCAGCGAAACTAAAAGGCCATTTCAGTCAGTTACCAGGCACAACCTGTGCCACAAGATGCTTTCAGAAGAAACAATGGCCATGTACTCATGGCAGATGAAGGCAGCCTCAGGCAGAATACCACAGAGGGCTTGGCACGCAGTTCCTTAATACACGGGTGGAGAAGAGACACTAACTTAGAGCGCAAAAGAGCCTGAAGGAGAGATCGAACACCGTTCATGAACACACCATCTACAGAACAGGGACAAATCCTTTCCTGTTATAGGCTAGCAATACCTTCTCAAATAAAAGCAGGTAGTTGTTTTAAACCTGAACATACTGAAAAGCTTCCATTAGAAATGGATGGTGATTTCCCACTTTCTTCTTGTACTTCATGCAAGAAAGACCATCCTGTTGCCATCTGCATTTGTCTGCCTTGTCCTATGTTTCATTGTATAAGGTCAGCTGCACCTCTTATCTACATAATTAAGCCCTGAGTGAGATGTCCAAAGTGCTGGCAGATGGGCAGAAGGAAAGGGGCAGGTTTTCAACATGCAAACACCTATACAGACCCAGACACAATCCACTTACAGCCTGCAGAAATCAGGATGAACTACCTGACCTAGATTCTTGGACTAAGATCTTAGGCTAGTCCTGTTCACAGACACAACTGCTTAAAGTGAGCACAGCTGTGCCTGCCATCATCACTGTCAGCCACCAAACACTCCCTTCAGTGCTCCTATCCTTGCAGAATGGTGGCAAGGAAGAGAGGAGATAGGAAGTGCTGGTGGCAGGGAAGCATCAGCAGGACTTTCAGCAGACCACCAGCCTCCCTCCCAGCAGTGCACCACATCTGCAGTGGAGGTTGCAGAACAGCCTGTTTCCAAAGCATGGACAAGAAAGGGTTTCAATCTTCTCCGCAAGACAGGTAAGGGTCCAACACTATCTGACCCTGGAGAAAGGAGAGAAAGAATGAACATGACATGGGCCTGAGCCCAGATCAGGTCAGAGCAGGTAATGGTGTCTGGATTAAGATGAATGGGCTGTAACCTCAACAATCTGCTAGCTGGAAGGTCAGAGGAATTAATTCTCTTTTAACTAAGCACATGCCACAGGGCTTTGCTGATCTGCCATCCTCTACTTCTGTGACATACTTCCATCTTTTTCTTCTGCCCATTTTGCCAAGGACTTATGACCTAATCTGTTGGATACAAATGTTTAAGTGATGAGTAAAACTACAGGACAGCTGTGTGTTGCAGGTTGTAGCACATTCTCCTCCTTACAAGGGGACACAAATCTTACAGTGAATTTGAACAACCACGAACAAGTTATTTGCTGCAGTGATTAACACAGTTTCAGAAGGAAAAAAGATAACCTGCATAGTTCACAGAATGTCTGCCCATCAGCTTTCTCTGTCTTGCCTTTGTAACAGCTTTTTAATTTCTTTACTAGTTTCAAGCTTAATTACAATATGTCCACAATATTTGTGTTTTCACATTCATTGTCACAGAATCACAGAATGGTTTGGGTTGGAAGGGACTTTCAAAGATCATGTAGTCCAACCCTGTGCCATTGGCAGGGACACCTCCCACTAGACCAGGTTGCTCAAAGCTCCATTCAACCTTGCCTTGAGGGGGCATCCACAGCTTCTCTGGGTATCTCTCCCATCTGGTTCATTTTAACTCACATGTCCTGCCTCTTGCTTAGGACTAGGGGAAAGCTAAAGGAATTCCATAGAGACAGACAAGCAGGAAGTATGGCAATACATAGGGTTATAGGGACAGAGATGAAGTCGCTTGAAATGCAAGAGGTTTTTAAGTTATGCAATTCATATAAAGAGCACAGTATATCTATTTCATGTTTTGCACAGTTTTCAAATATAACCCATGAGCTCATTGCAAAAAGTGTGTTTTCTTCTAAGTATGAAACTATGTGTCCAGAAATAAAGCACATTAGAAACAATTTGTAAAAAATCACAAGCTTTTTGCAGAGACATCTCTGCTTCCACTTGATGGAGAAGAGGGGTTTTGCTTCCCTGTGGAGGTGACACTAGCCCATACATGTTTCAGAGAATCTGAATCTGCGGGAAGCTGGTGCCGCCTGCCCACTTCGATTCCTCTGCAGTGTCATTCTGAGCTTCCTCACAGTCTCTGTCGGGCACCCAGTGCGAGGCTGGGGTGAAGATCTTCCAAAAAGACTGCTACTGCTCTTGCCTGTGTTAGTTTTTCTGACCAACTCCCTCCCCTGTTGTATGCCCTTCTGAAGACCGGCTGCTGTATCAGTGGGGGGCATGACAAGGCAGTGGGTGGGAGAAGATGAGGGATGATGGCAGGGGCACTTGAAGACAACTGAACCATGCTTTCATGTGCATTAGAAGATCTGTGTATAGGAGAGGCCTGAGCAAAGCCACCAGCACTGGGTCTGAAGCAGGCAGGCAGGGGTGAAGGCCATGCCAGTGCAAAGCCAGAGCACTGACCTTCACTCGGATGCCCAGCTGTGAAGTCCCGAGGAATGTGAGGTCTTCCTAATGAACCTTTGGATGAGGAGCAGGAATAGGAGCGTGCCCGAATCCCATACACTATGCATTCCTACAAAAAAATTGCAGCAAATTAAAACTTTTGTTCTTTTGTAATGCATCAGCAAAAGAAACAAAATAAACCAATGACAGAATTTCTGGAAGAAGGATGGCTGACCACATCCATACATTTTCATGGGTTCATTAAAGCTCTAAGTTGAAGTAAAACATTGGATTATTTAATTTGAATTCTTAGGAAGTCTGTCATACTTCTACTATGATAAATTTTTGTATGTTACAGGAAGTAATTTGTGGGTGCAAGTTAGACTGAGAGAAAGCTTCCATTCTTCTCCAGTTTGGTGGCAAATGCCATCCACACAGTGTTGTTGGCCATTTCCTCAGATGACAAAGATACCTTCCTTTACCAGGGGAGCCACTAATCTTACTACTATAATACCTCAAGAACATTTCATGGAAACTAGCACCCTGCCTTGGTAATTGATGTCAGTGTTTCCAAAGAAAGGACTTAGCCTCTTCCCCTTCTTTCTCTGCAAATTTTTCTTGTGTGGTGATTTTCTGACCCCCAAATATGTCGATGATAAGGCCTGAAAGGAAACCCCCTGTTTTTTTATACATAGTTTATATCTCAACAGACCTCACTTCTAAACTGCTTTCCTTATTGTTTTTAAAAGCAACCCTAACAGAATACAGTGTTTGTGCTGGATTCTTTTTCTTCCTTCATGTAATCATTTGCTGAAGTTCAGATGAAGCCATACAGTGGCAAGAAGTTTGTCTAATAAAAACATAATCCCTACGAACAAAAAATAACTCTACCTATGTGTCTGAAGTTCTTAAAAATGGCATCATGGTCTAATGAAAATTAATGTAGCCCAGATAATTTAAAAAACCACAATGAAGAGGAGAGATCAGCACTAGTCAATGCACAAAACCCAACTGAATTTGCCCAAGTCTAATAATTGTCTTATAACTAGCAGCAGGCTAGTTTTCTACTTTACAAAGCTGTTACCTTTTCACATAACTACAGCTGGTTAAACATTTCCTCACTAACAATGATCTGGTTAGAAAATGCTGATTCACTGAATCTGTGATACTTCGTTTGAAACACTTCTGATAAATTAAGCCCTTCCTATGGCTGCTGACAAGCCAGCCACTACCAGGAAGCTGTGGCTCCACAGGACTGTGCACACTGCTCTCCACAGAGACTAACACTGCTAAGTGGGAACACATTCTCCCTTTCAGATGTTTCTTACATGTTTTCAGTGACTTCTTTAAAATGAAAACAATACAAACCAAGATAGTGTCAAATACCTTGGGCTGCAGACTGGGAGGTAAGTCTAATCCATCTCTGCTACAAGCCATGGTCTCTGAAGAGCCGAGAGGAGGGTAGTGAACATGGGATCTGCTTGAAACATCTCCACTTCCATCATCTATTTCAAGGTCATCAAGACTTGAACTGAAGCAGACAATGAAGCTTTTAATTCCCACCAATTCTAATAACAATCTGCCTCAACCTTAAGGCAGCAAGCAAAGATCCTTCTGTATACTCTGATCAATAACAATCCAAACCACCGTTATTATGTCAAGTAAGCTGTGCTCTGAGTCCCCTCTCAGGTTTGCAGTCAGCTGACTAGGATACTCAGTCACTCTCTGTACAGGACTTGTCTGACCCAACCTTGTGGATTTGTAGTACAGACATTTGCATCACCCCTGACAATGCACACTCCTACCACAGTCAGCCACGTCTGGAGGATAATTTTCAGACCCATGCTCAGCATCTCCCTTCAAATGAGGTGTTTTGTTTCACACATATACCTATATAGATGATAAGGAGAACTGAGACAACTAGCTCAATTACACTATTAAGATATGTGGGTATACATGGATATTCTGTGCATGTGTTAATTTGAAAGATATGATGTGGCTATTCACAGATATCTTTTTTTCTACATCTGTAACTTAACAGAGGATGGAAGAGAAAACTAACAAAATAAGTGAAGGATGGTCTGAGACAGCTTATGAGATTAATTCAAAAAGATATAAACTTAAAAAACATAGAGCACTATGAACAGACTAAAAAATCTCTAGCTAAATCAGTATTTCAGGCACCTACAGACTATTTGATTGGCCAGTGTTTCTCAGCAGGTAAGTGCAGTAAGGTTTCTCAGCAGTACCAGGACTTCCCAGAATGGGTCCCATTAGCCCCAAGAGCAAGTTCATGGTCTCGTCATCAGAGTGACAGGAATGAATGGCTGAATGCTTGCAATAACATTACAGCCTTACAACATAAAAATGTAAAATATGTGTGGAATTTCTAAATAGTTACTAAATAGTTTCTAAATAGTCCCAGAGATCCTACCAGGAATAATAGCACAAGAACTCCTTCACACACCACTACAATTCACTTTGTGGAAGGGCAAATCTATTGATACTTTACAAAACCACTTCCTTATGACATTTATGGAGACCACCTTTTGCAATGTTTCCTAGTAAAAGCCCATGTGACATTTCAGAAATGAGTTACTTAACTGCATTATCAGTTACTGTCACATTTTAAAACTGGAAAAGCAATACATATCTATGACAACAGACAAGCAGACACATTTTACTTGGATTTTTTTCTGACATAAAAAGCTATTTTAAATATCTGCTAAGTAACTTGCCACATCACCTCAGATACTTTAAGAGAAGTGCTGCTGGAATTACATACTGATAGTCTTATGTGTAATATTTGGATCACTTGCAGTTGACATATTAGGTCAATCACATATCTCTAAAAACTCATATAAGCTCTTAAAGCTCATATCTAGACACCCAACCTATGTCTTAAAAAATGTAGGAATATCTAAAAATGTATAAGAAAGAAAGGTATATGACAGGCAGAAGAAAAAGATTTATAGTAATCATAGAATCATAGAATCCTAGGGGTTGGAAGGGACCTCGAAAGATCATCTAGTCCAACCCCCCCTGCCAGAGCAGGGTCACCTAGAGTACATCACACAGGAACGCATCCGGGTGGGTTTTGAATGTCTCCAGTGAAGGAGACTCCACAACCTCTCTGGGCAGCCTGTTCCAGTGCTCTGTCACTCTCACAGTACAAAAATTTTTCAGATATTCACCTTGAACCTCCTATGCTCCAATTTGCTCCCATTACCCCTTGCCTATCACTGGTCATCACTGAGAAAAGCCTAACTCCATCTCCCTGACACTCACCCCTTACATATTTGTAAACATCAGTGAGGTCACCCCTCAGTCTCCTTTTCTCCAAGCTAAAGAGACTCAGCTCCCTCAGCCTTTCCTCATAAGGGAGATGTTCCACTCCCTTCAACATCTCTGTGGCTCTGTGCTGGACTCTTTCAAGCAGTTCCCTGTCCTTCTTGAACTGAGGGGCCCAGAACTGGACACAATACTCCAGATGCGGCCTCACCAAGGCAGAATAGAGGGGGAGGAGAACCTCTCTTGACCGACTAACCACACCCTTTCTAATGCACCCCAGGATGCCATTGGCCTTCTTGGCCACAAGGGCACATTGCTGGCTCATGGTCATCCTCCTGTCTACCAGGACTCCCAGGACTCTACCAGGACTCCTACACTGCTCTCCAGCAGGTCAGCCCCTAACCTGTACCGGTACATGGTGTTTCTCTTCCCCAAATGCAGAACTCTACACTTCCCCTTGTTGAACTTCATCAGGTTTCTATGTGATATCCCCATAGGTAGCAAAAATTAAAAGTTTGGGAAAGAACAACTCTTTGTCTGGCATTTGTTATTTTATCTGTGTTAAAAGATTCCTCCTAGTTGAACTTTACAGTTGTGTAACAAATTCCAAATTAAGGTAATATTACTGCCCACTTCAATCAACAACAGATAGACATTACTGCTTCATTACTTTTCTTACATAGATCTGATGCTCTACCTCCAAATAGTCCAAACTCTCTGGAAAGGTGGGAGACAGATTTCTTCCTGTACAAGAATGAACTGATTTCATGTCTCTTTTATCAAGAGAAGCAATAAAACCTTTTATCAAGGAAATGTACTAATTCTTGAAACCAAAAATTATAGTTTCATCTTCAAAGCTCTCCCCATTCCTGAAGACAACCAGTTCACTGTACAGCTTAAAGCCATCTAGAAGTTATTCCTCACACCAATCACTCTGCTAGCAAAAAACCTTGTGTACCAGAAAAAGAGCAGAAAACTATCTGAACCTATCAGAAACATGATCTGTCTCTGCATTATGTCTTTTCAAGTAAAAAAAATATGCAATTAAGAATAAGTTTGCCTTCTACAGGCCAATGCAAGAAACTGAAAGATTTCTAGCACATTCAACAGATTTCGGACTCTCCTCTGGATGGAAAATATAACTGAGGAAAACCAGAGTGAAATTATGGTTTATGATAAAAATGCCACCATGGAAACTCTTACAATGAACAGCTGATTCTTTTTATTGTTTTATTTTGTTGTGTTTTTTTTAAAAAAAAAAAAAAGAAAAGTATAAAAGCATGAATTTGCATTAAAAATTAATTAGAGGACACCTTTTACTTGTTAAAAATGTCTTCATAGCTATTTTATGAAAACAGATCTTTAGGACAATTTAAATACCAGTAATTGAAAACACTGATTTTTACCTCAGTAATAATATTTATTCAGCCAGATTCTGTTTCTTCTTTTGAAATTAAAAGTTTATCATAAATAATCCTTATTCTGGTCACATCATCAAGTAAATTCCATACCTCCTTCTTTTCATGTCAGCATAAAGTTGGCTCCAACCCTTAATAAATCCATGGGTCTTGAATGGAAGATATGAATCTGCTCCATATGGATTGGAAGGTGAAACAGTACTTTTTAAACCTGCATTTTCTCCACATTTCTCTGGCCTTTTATTTCCTTCTTTTGGAACATGTATATACTGGTCATCCTCCTCAAGGGAGGGAGAAGAAGAGCTCTTAGCTCTTGGGATTGAGTTGGTAGGATTCAGACTAATTTCACTGCTGACACCATCTTCATGAATGTTGCAAGTCCTTAAATCTCCAGCCTGCAGAGAAAAATTGAACTCTTGTAAAAGGCAGTAACAAGATGTACTGTCAGGGAACAGGAATCAGATTAGTTCGCCATTGTATTTGTGGTTATATGTTTTGTCTTTCTTCTATTACTTTTACAGCACATGAATTGAAAGCAAAATAAATGGATAAGGGGTTCTAGACCTTGAATTAGTTTTTTCCATAATTAGGGAAGCAATGAATTGGTATTTGCCAGTCTAATGGATTTCTCACTCGTATTTTTATATTTTCTTAAATGTATCAATTCATATATTTATAGGTTTTATTAAAAAATATCCTACAGTTAAACAAAAAAACATGCATAATACATTAGTGCTGGAAACATATGGAGGAGAATTCAAACACTGTGCAATTTAATTTGGAAAAATCAGCCTACACATCATGCACTTTTAATTTTCCAGCTCAAATTTCCCAAGTTTTGAGATAAATATACATTATCTGGAACAGAGGATTTCCAGGGGAGGAAAGGAAAGGAATTTTTATTTTTTGCCATTAAACAATTACGGGCATGAAGCAGCCCTCTTCTTGCATAAAGACACTAATGGAGTTGGGAATTACATTTTCTCAAGTATGGGAATCAGGATTTTGATGCTGGTTACAAATAATTATTTGTGCAACTGAGGTTGAGTTCTCCTGTCAACTCTGCAGAATATATTAAACTACAGTTTATTGTCAGCCTTTTAGTTAGACACTACTGTCATCTACTTATTACAGAATCATAGAATGCCAAGTTGGAAGGGATCTCAAAGATTGTCTGAGCCAAGCTTTCCTGGTAGGAACACAGTTTAGATGAGATGGCCTAACACTTTGTCTAGCTGAGTCTTCAAAGTGTTCAGTGGTGGGGAATACACAACTTGTCTGGGGAGATTACTCCAATGTCCAACTGTTCTCATGGTGAAAAATTTTCTTCTAATGTCCAACCAGGATTTCCCTAGAAGCAACCAGCACCCATTATCACTTGTCCTTTGCATGTGATGCCTTGTAAAAAGGGAGTCTCCATCTTCTTGGTAGCCACCCTTGAAGTACTGGAACGTAGCAATAAGGGCTCACCTAAGCCTTCTTTCCTCCAGATTTAACAAACCCAGTTCTCTCAGCACTTCCTCATATGGCAGACTTCACAGTCCTTTGATCTTTTTTGTGGTCCTTCTCTGGACCTTCTCCAGCAAGTCCACATCTTTTTTTGTAGAGCAGGGACCAGAACTGAACATAACACTCCAGGTGTGGCCTGACAAGCACTGAGTAGAGTGGGATGACGACTTCTTTATCACTGCTGGTGATGCCTTTGTTGATGCAGCCCAGCACCCAGCATGGACCTTGATTTGTGATCCGATAGCCTGAGGCCCAACAGCACAGATAAATACAGAGGTGAAGAAAGTATTAAGAACCTCTGCCCTTTCAACATTGTTGGTGACTAGTTCACCTCTTCTGTTTAACAATGGGCCAATATTCTTCTGGTTCAGCTTATTGTTTATGTGTCTGAAGAACCCTTTCTTGCAGTTTTTGACACCTCTGGCTGACTTGAACTCAAGTTGAGGGTTTGCTTTTCCAACTGCATCAAAAGAAGCATGGCTGGCAGGTTAAGGGAGGTGATTCTCCCCCTCTACTCTGCTCTCATGAGACCTCACCTAGGAAGGGACTTTTTACAAGGGCCTGTAGTGAGAAGACAAGGGGGAATATCTTAAAACTGCAAAAGGGGAAATTTAGATTAGACATTAGGAGGAAATTCTTCACTACAAAGGCGGTGAGACACTGGCACAGGTTCTCCAGAGAAGCTGTGGAGGCCCCATCCTCGGAAGCGTCCAAGACCAGGTTGGATGGGACTTTGAGCAGCCTGGTCTAGTGGAAGGTGTCCCTGCCCATGCAGGGGGGTTGGAGCTAGATGATCTTCAAGTCCCTTCCAACTCAGAACATTCTACAATTCTGTGATCTTTTCATGCTCTGGTAATGTCCTTGTAATTCTCAACAGCTGTTATTCCACTTTTCCATCTCTAGTACACTTTCAGTTTGGCTTTGAGCAGAGCCAGAAGCTCAGATTTATGCCAAAGGGTCTCTTTCTCCACCTACTTTCCTTGCCTTTAGAGGGAATGAACTGGTTTTGTATTTCTAGGACAGTGCTCTTGAAAAACTTAGAAACTGAATAATACTGAAAAGTCACACAGCCAGTGAAAACACTCGATCTCCAAAAAGCACCTGCATAAAAGCAAAAAGAAAGGAAGGATTGCTAGCATCTCCAAACCCCATGTCTTTCAGATTTCTGACTTCCTCCCCTACAGCCCCACTTGAGATGTGTTTTCACCCCAAATATTTCTCTTAGTAAAAGACAGAAAGAACTGCTGGCATTTTTGCAGCAGCCCATATTTGCATTCAAAGACACCGTGCATGCAAGTCTGGAAGTAGTTCTGTTGTCCTATGCAGATGACATGCACAAAAGTAAAATGTTTCCCCCGCATCTTGCACAGCTGTACCTCCCTTCAAAATTATTCCTACCCATGCAGAGTTTCCCCTCAGCACCAGAGGGACCTTCTCCAGCAGCCACTCCATCTCCTGCTGTGTGGTGCTTTAGGGAGTTCAGCCTCAATCAGCAATTTAACAAAGCAGAATGTGGCTGTGTGTTGAGTAAAGGTAGAAGTACCAGGTAGAAGTACCCCCAGCAATATACTCAGGTAACATCCATATCTGTGATGGACCTGTGCTTATGCAGCTCTGTACTTCCAACTTCGATATTGTTAAAATCAAGGGTACTTAGATGGCATTTATAGTCCCCTGCCAGTTTCTCACTCCTAAGTCATTATTTCATGCATCTCTCAGCAACCTTAGGTTCACTTTGAATATGCCAGCCTCTGACTGAAACTTTCGTCTCAGCTGTTGCAAACAACTGAATCTGCAGTGAGTGTAGTGACTGAAGTGTCTCCGCGAATGGGAAAAAAAAAAAATTAAATAAAGAAAAATCACACTTGCAAAATCTCAACCTTCTTCTAACATTATGATCTGATCATTTCTTACTCTTATATTCCAACTTTTACCCCAGAGAAAGCCCACAGCAGGTTACAAATAAATAAATCCCTTCAAACACCACTGAAACACAGATACATAACACCAGAATTTTTTTACTGTGTAAACACAACGACTTCACTCAGGAGTTGGACTAGTCCCTCCTGCCCAAGTTATGATATCTGAGTGTGACTGTAGGGGAGTGATTTCATGTGCAACATGGTGATGTAAAACATGATTTGGTCTGGACACTCTGGCTTATCTCCAGTGCTGGTGACAAACAAATCAGAAACACAAACACTAAGTTAGGATCTTCAGTATCAGAATGCTCCATGCTCCTTGTAAGGCATCAATTTCACCTTTTCAGCAATTTTGTTGAGCCTGTAAGCTTATCTATGAGCTTATACTTAACTTTGGAAATAAGACAGCAACAGCAAATTAATCTCTTTGATGAATGTTCATAGAGTTCAGAAAATCTGAAGTACACGTGAGCAAGTAACATTGTGTTAAGATTTCTTAGAAAGAAGCAAGTACCATTTAGCTCACAAACACACAGAAAAGACTATAAGAATTGTTTCAGAGTTTCTCCCTACAGGCTAGGGAGAATAATTCCTGTCATCACTGAATCTAGTAAAAGGGAACTCCTAAGTAGGTTGCAAAATACAGCTGAGAAGGGTAAGGTATTACTGTTTGTATTTCAGAGCTTTACTAATCAGCCACATACCACTGCTGACAGATCCAGAAGATCCTACTATCAGACAAATAAGTTATTTTAACAGAAGATGAAGAAAAATAGCCAAAAGTTCAAACATCAACTTACTTGGTGTACTACCATGCAGTTTGCATATACTTCATCACTTCCACTCAGCATGGCAGGAAGTCTGTTTGCAGCAAACAAAGCAGGTGGAGCCTTGAGTTTCCTGAGAATATCAAGGGTAGAGTGTCTCTGCTCTGGAAAAAAGAAATTGTGGAAAATATACCATTTAATCTCAAAGCTTTTTTTTTCTTATGCATATACAATATCATAAAAATGGCAAAGTTAAACATTAAGCATCAAATCTTAGGATTACAATTTGAGTAATATTTGTGTAGCCACTCAAAATCTGCCCATTTTTTAATTGCCTAACACTTGGTATATGTTCCAAGTAGCCTATAGTTGACAAAACTCTAAAAGGTACCACAGAATTATTCATATTACTTAAAAAGAAGTGTTCCTGTATCCTAGTTAGCAAAACCTTCCATTTTTCCACCTAAACTAGAATTCTGTAGAGATCAGTGGTTGCAGAAGTACACAGGACAAGATTCATGTGCTGGGATGAAATGTGCATGATTCTGGCCCATACATTAAATACATCTGATACATTAAATACATCTGATACATTATATTAACAAAATACTCTTCCTAAAGCATTCTACCCACTGGAAGCAATATAAATACTAATCTCAGAACAATAAAGCAGATTACTGTTCTCAAAACAGAAAACAAAATTACAAGGAGGATATAAACAAAACACCACAGATAGTGCCTTTACAGGATGACAGCAATCAATCAAGATCTGACCCATGAACAACATGTTTAGGATGAAGACTGTGTTTGATCTACTTCTGGCACTGAGATGAGAAATTATCAGTTTCACCAGAAAGAGAAGTTCAGTGTTCAGTTTTCAATACTGTGTCCATGACTGCAAATATTATAAAAAGCTGCATGTTCTGTCTACTTCTTTCATTGCTTTTGAGCAGCAGAAAAGCTAAGTGCTGCAGTCTGCCCTGCAGGCCCACTTCTCTTAAAGCTGCATGTAACTATGAAGAACACACACCAATCCAGCATTTGAGCTGGTAGCCGAGGCCTCATCTTGTCTTCTGACTGTAAGAGTAGCAAAATCTGACAATGTGGAAACCTGTCTTGGTCTAGACTGTGTGAAAACAGGCTAAAAAAAATAAATAAAAATCACAGTTTAAATGTAATTTTCCTTATTTTACAATGCTGTAGGTCAAGCACTGAACAATCCCAGGCAATGCTACAGGCTTGGGGAAGGCCAGCAGCATCCTGGCCTGCATCAGGAATAGTGTGGCCAGCAGGACTAGGGAAGTGATCTTGCCCCTGTACTCAGCACCAGTGAGGCTGCACCTTCAGTCCTGTGTCCACTTCTGGGCCCCTCACTACAGGGAGGACACAAAGGTGCTGGAGGGTGTCCAGAGAAGAGCCACCAACTGGTGAAGGGTCTAGAGAACAAGTTGTACGAGGAGAGGCTGAGGGAACTAGGAATGTTTAGCTTGGAGAAGAGGAGGCTGAAGCAAAACCTCATCGTTCTGTACCACTACCTGAAAGGAGGCTGTAGGGAGGTGGGTGTTGGCCTCTTCTCTCAAGTGAATAATGACAGGATAAGAGGAAATGGCCTGAAGCTGTGGCAGAGGAGGTTTAGATTGGACATTAGGAAGAATTTCTATACT